TTTTTTTATATATATATATATATATATATATATATATATATATATAAAGTCCACAGCCTGAGCCCTGGCAGAGGTCTAAAACCATCACATTGAACATGTGGCGGATTAAAGTAGCTTGAAGCATTTAAAACAATAATTACACTGTGGCAATTTCTATTAACAGTTTATCAATGACAAAACTTGTTCTATAAACTGAAAAGAAGCATGAATTCTTACCACTTAAGCTCATAGACAAAGCAACTTCTAAGCAATCATTCTCCATTTGAATAGACTCTGCTAATGTCCGTGTGAGAGTGTCCGTCAATGTCTTGTCCTCCTCCTCGTCATCACACTGTATTAAATTACTGGCCACTTTCGTCTCCGTTAAAAGGTTAGGTTTTTTCACTTGGACAGCAGGATGAATTAATAATAATCTATCAGCTGCACAATCAGGCAACCTCCCATCAACAATGAATATTGAATACCCTGTTGAGGATATTTGTAAAATAATTAATATAATTACCTAAATACCTAGGTTTTAAGTTCAACTAAATTTTCTGACTTATATTCTTAGAAAATCATAAAAAATCATTGTCATCTTATCGTTTGAAGTATTCTTATTCAATGAAAAAAAATCACATGACATGATCATTAGTAATCAAAGATCCAGATATCTTTTACTGCCATCAACATAAAATTAATAAGTCATATTGGTATGAAAGAATAAATTATTTATTTACCCCAGATTTAATGGTATTTACCAGTAAAACATATTTTTTAATTCCTCCATCATACTATATTCCGTTATTATGTTTTTGGGTCTTGGTTATTGTGAAACAGCTTCCTTAGCAGTTTGTTTTTATTGTACACTCAATGATGAGAACTTATACATTTATTTCAGGCTCTGGATTATCATGTTCAGACAATTATACACCCGTGGCAGAATTGTGGCGACATTGTTGCAGAACATTACAGAGTTCGAGCAGAAAGATTTTTTATTTGGGAAGCAAAGAGGTTTGAGTTTTTTATCTGCAGAATTTTTCAAAATATTTTTTTTTCTTCTCCTTTCAGAAGAATTATATTCAAAAAATGCCTTTTTCCCATATCCGAAGTGGAATGAAGGCTCATGTTTTTTTTTTAATTCCCTACTTCTTTCTGCTGCAATGACTGGTTTTAGCTAGAATTTCAGATTGATATTATAAAAAGTAATTTCCAAAGATCAAAAATTTAAAAAAGGTTAACTATAAAAATATTTTTTTAGAACAGGAGAATAGCACCAATATGCACTTTTTTAATGTTTAAATTTTAAAAAAATTCTTACATTTATAGTTAATAAAATCATATACTGTTCTGTTCTATACATGAAGGCTTTTCTTAAAATAAAAAAAAAAAGCACTTCTGTTACTTTAAATTAGTAACATATATATTTGCTACTATTAAAAATGTCTTTCACTAAGGTATTAGTACTAGAGAGAATTGTCGCAGAAAGCTCGAAAAAATTCTGCCACAAGGATTATACATATTTCAAATATAAAAAAACACAAAACAGCTCTCTTTATCTGAAGCCACCTTATTCCCTTCGCTATATTCTCCCTGCAACATGTCCATAATCATCTCATTTCTCACGAGAGTCCATCCCTTTTAAGAAATCTTTCCTTCCCCACGATAGGGGAACAACACTTCCCATGTCCTTCAACAACTGACCCTCAGGTCAGGGGTTGTTCAGACATGTGGGAGTGGAATCAGAGTCCTGACAATTATTAATCAAAATTAAAGGTTTAAAACTTTAGAATAGATCCTTGAGGAACACCACGGTTTGAAAAAATATAATTACTAAAATTACTTCGGATTTTAACTCTATGTTCTCTGTTTGAAAGATATGAAACAAACCAATTTAACATAATTCCTCTGAAACCAGCAAATTCTAATTTTTTAATTAAAAGATTGTGATTGACATTATCGAAAGCTTTTGATATATCAAGAAATATAGCTACTGTTATCTTATTTTCAGCAATACTATTATGAATAAATTTTGAAAATTCCAAAAGAGCTTTTTCTGTACTTTTGCCTTTAATAAATCCATGTTGATTAACAGAGAAAAAATTTGTATGTTTTAAATAATTGTACATTTTATCAGCTAGAGCTTTTTCAATGAATTTGGAAAAAACAGGTAATATTGAAATTGGTCTATAGTTTGATAGGCAATTTTTATCGCCGGTTTTAAAAATAGGAGCCCTTTCCTTTTGAGAATAAAAGAAACCTTTTGAGAATAAAAGAAACTCTGCAATGACTGGCTTTAGCTAGAATTTCAGATTGATATTATAAAAAGTAACTTCCAGACAGCAAAAATTTAAAAAAGGTTAACTATACAAATATTTTTTTAGAACAGGAGAATAGTACCAATATGCATTTTTTTATGTTTAAATTTCAAAAAAAATTCTTACATTTATAATTAATAAAATCATATACTGTTCTGTTCCATACATGAAGGCTTTTTTTTTAAAAAAAAAAAGAAGAAAGTGCTTCTGTTACTTTAAATTTAAATTAGTAACATACATATATGCTACTATTAAAAATGTCTTTCAGTAAGAGAGAATTGTCGCAGAAAGCTCGAAAAAATTATGCCACAGAAATTATACATATTTTAAATATAAAAAAACACAAAACAGCTCTCTACATCTGAAGCCACCTTATTCCCTTCTCTATATTCTCCCTGCAACGTGTCCATAATCATCTCATTTCTCATGAGAGTCCATCCCCTTTAAAAAATCTTTCCTTCCCCACGATAGGAGAACAATACTTCCCATGTCCTTCAACAACTGACCCTCAGGGGTCAGGGGTTGTTCAGACGTGTGGGAGTGGAATCAGAGTCCTGACAATTATTAATCAAAATTAAAGGTTTAAAACTTAATCTGCTGTTTGGTTATAACAAAGCAATGATATATTACTTCCATGTGTAAAATTTCATGATCAAGATATTTGTAAACAATTATTTCACAATTTACAATGATTAAACTACATATAAATTATACTTACTATTTAAGAAGCAACATTTACTTTTAAAATAAATTTGTTAAAATATCTCGAACAGAAAAAAAAAAATATTGGAGATTTCATGATGTGCACCATTATTTATGACAAGGGAAAAGTATGATTTTTTTTTAAAAAAAAACTTCATTACAGTCTTTACCTACTTACTTTCAGTAATTTTACTAATGGTTATACATTTAATAAATCAACTTGAAAAAAAATTGATTATCCAGTAATTTTGAGATACATTTCATGGTGTCGTATAATTGTAGTTCTATTGTGTTTAAAGATAGTCTTGCCGAGAAAATAAAAGACCACGATAATTTGAGTAATAACAATCTATGGTTTGCAAAAGAAATATTCAACTATGAAGAATTTACATAAATAATCCCAAAAAATTGAAACGGAAATATATAACTTGAATAAAAATTTAATTCATTTGTTTCAAAAATATACAAATTGGAAATAAGGAAATAACGGTCCAAATGTTTCAAGAGCACAAAAACAGGTGCCCATTTTCAAGACTTGGAGCACTTGAAACATGTTGACTGGTATTCCCAATTCATATATTTCTGAAGCAAATTAAGTTTTTAATCAAGTAATTATACAGAGTGCTCGTTTTGATAATCATATAAGTTAATTTAGTTAGAGAAAGCAATAAACCAGGTAAAAAATCATTTCCTCCTAAATGAAGTAGATTCCAGTTTATTACGGTTTACACAAGTCAAATTTAAATATTTAATTATAACAAGAATTTACATAGCAATCATAATTACATAAAAAAATGGAGAAAAAATACAAAACCATTGATTTACAGTAGCAATGGTATTTAGTTGGTTTCATTGTTATAAGTTACAAAAGTGTAATTAGATTGAAAAAAAAATATTTGTAAGCATCATTATATGGTAGTTAGTAAACAATTATTTTTTTATACTTCCATAAAATTTACTTGAACAATAAAAACTACAACATTAGGATTAGAGTAGGAAAAATGCAGTTTTTTTAAATAAAAAAAATTCTTCCTCTGGTTTAAACCCGATTTTTGTGTTTTTTTTTAAAGCAATATGTCAAATTGTATTTTAATTCCTTAATTGAAATTAACTAAATCGTTACAAAGTATTGCATAGTATTTATCAGTTAAGGTTTTTATTAAAAATTCAATTTTGCTCCTTAAATTAACATAAAGAATTATTTTAACATAAAAACAGCTGGATACTTTAAAAATGCTTTTATGAAACTTTACAACGACAGTTAACATGCAAATAAACACTTAGCATTTATATTTTATTTTAGTAATATATGTTAAAGAGTGATTTCCTGTTTTGCTTACCTGCAATATGAAATTGCAATGCTTTAGTAATGTTTATTTAATATCATTTTTTAGCTATATACAATTTATAATATTAGTTTTAAATTTCATGAAATACACATTTCTTTCTTTTTTTTTTAATCCATTGAACCAATACAAATTTTAAATATATTTAAGGCAATATATCATACATATTTTTTGTATATATACCATATTAATTATACATTATTTTACATATTCCATTGATTAAAATATATTTAAAAATAATGGAATGATGAAATAGTACAAAAATAACATGGGCTGTAAATAAAATAGTAAAAGTAAGTTTTAGTACTAATGGTTTAATAATAAACAAAATGTAAACTACTTTCCCCCCCTTATTTTAACATAATAGAGATTTAAGATTAATAATGTGAGAGTTTGTAGTTGTCCAGAAACATCTAATTTTTCTGATAAAATATATTTTGTCATTATTTGTTCTTTATTTTTAGCTCTTTGTCCTGATATTTCTGATTTGCGTGCGTTCAAAGCATCCCATTTTCAGCTTATATTAATGCAATTTTTAAAAGTATTGTTTTGAATAATTCAAAGATTAGAATTTTTGATCTAATAAATAATTTATTCAGATATTTACTTTTGAACATAAATGCCAAAACCTATATCTACTGTGTTTTCATTTCACAATTATTGAAGCCACACTTAAAAATATTTGATAAAAGTCATAAGCTTGATTGCAAATTTTAAATGAATACTGGTGTGAAGAAAAATTAACTAATTGATACTGATTATTCTTTTATTGGACAGCATGATTAAAATTTCCTAAATATTGATATCAAATGGTGATGAGTTGTTCAGTGTTCTATTAATAAAATTTTAGTATAAAAATTGCTAAAACTTTTTTATCAAAAAAAACTCTAGAATCAAAAATAGTATATTTTACTATTTATTTTTTCCTTTTTTGTAGGGGTGAAGGGGAAACTCGAATGGGGTTGTTGATTAAAGTAAAAAAGGATTAAAATACAGAATGAGATTATAAAATTAAAATGCGGTGTTCAAAAAAATAAATAAAATTGTGCCCATAACTAATTAACAGAAATAATTAAAACATACCAACATAACAAAAATTTGCTCTTATTGAATTTAAGTAAATTACTCTTTTTTTTAGTTTCTAGTTTGATCTATAGACAAACTGCTCAAAATAAATTAAGAGTAAGTGACTTTGCAGTTGCGAAATCTTACCTTAACTTGTAAATTTAGTTTTCATACATACAGTATTGATATTACGCTACTGTAAATTTTTAATTGAATCTAAATGTGCACATCAATATAATCCGCAGGCAAACTTTATTTTGATTACAAGATGAAATCTTTAATAAAAAACTTCAAAAAGGAAATCTAAAAATGAAAAATAGTGAAAATCTAATGTTTAAACAGAAACACAGATTTTTAAATGTTAAAGTGATTATTTTAAACATTATTATATTTATATTGAAATACTTAACTTTTTAAATATTGAAGTGATTAAAATATTTTACACTTTGGAGCCTATTCTATTCATTAAAAAAAATTTTTTTTTATAAAGAAGCAATTATTAGACTTGTGGAACAGTTTGAAAAGAAATGTGACATTTTTAGAATCATTTAGAACAGTAAATTTACTTAAGTTAATTAAGTTTGTCTGAGGATTACAAGAAGTGCACATTTAGATGTGCACATTCATATTGATGTGCACATTTAGAACATAGTTACAAGAAGTAATTATTTACTACCTTCTTCCTGAAGTTGAGCAAGAAATAGTGCTAGAAAGGTGTCAGATATGAGTTCAGGACCCGACAGCAATGAATTCAAATTGAACCACTGACGCCCAATTTTTCTAATAGTCAGCCAATGGTCTCGATAATTGCAGATGTAGGCAGACATTTTTCTGTAGAAGAAATCAGAATATTCAATTCAAAATAATGTTTATGCTCAGAAACTATCAGAACTAACAATCACTAATGTTGCAAACTAAAAATGAAATGCATTACTTGATAGCATATCAAAGATCCCGGTGTATAAGTCACCTTTTCCTATCCCAAAAATTTTGCCAAAATGAAGCAGTCCACTTATACATTGGCAATAAAGTTGTGCATTTGCTGATCATGAAATAATACCACATTGCAAACAGCAAAATAGATATGATTTAGTTTACTACTTTAAAAAACTAGTTTTAATATGTTATATACAATTAATTTTGCATTTCCTCTCATGATATATCCTTTTATAAACAAAGGCGATTTTTTTTTAGAGAGACTATATTCTAAATTACGTTTTTAAAAAAAATTACGATAATTTATTCATTGTGTTGTGATGACTCAGGGGATAGAGAGTTCACCTTCCAGTGAGATCAACCGGGTTCGAATATCAGCGATGGCTGGTCGATATGAATTTCGGCATCCTGCTTGCACCACCCTACAGTACCGGCAAAAAATATCCTCAGTGGTAGACAGATAATTGGTTAGAGTCCCCTTGCCGTCAAACTAACTGTGGAAGGTTTTCATGGTATCCTTCTCATTTTAACATAAATGTGTGTTAGTTCCATCAAAAAGTCCTCCACAAGGGTAAACTTTTCCAAATACTTAACCCAGGAGTTTCCTTTTCTTCTGGATTGGGTTCAAAATTACTTGGCTACAGAGTTGAACACTAGTAGTCCTAAACTCAAAAACATTGGGCCGGCTGTTCAATGACGGTTATAAAATAATTTATTCAAGAGAATTTTAGGAATATAACACAATGAGAATTTGAATACCATAAAACTAAAGATTTAAAAATTGCAGAACATCTATTTTTTATTCAATAACTTAAGCAGTGTCGTAATAAAGATCCCACACTGCAATGGAATCTTTTAAATAAGTATATTTTATTTTAAATAAAATTGTTCATTCTTCAAATCGATTATTTTTTAATAAAAGAATTTTTACTATCTTACTTATTTTTCACTGTGACGTTTTAAAATTATTCAAAAAAGAAGAAAAGGATCACAGTAGAAAATATAACTTATTTGAGGCATTTAATTCTGCTTTATTCTACTGTTTTATTAGTTTTTATACTACTCACAGAGATTTTTTTAATCAAAATTTGGGAGGAGTTTATAGTCAGCCAACTGCAGGCGGTTACGCATTACCTTTCATTGAAAAGTATGATTTATTTGATTGAAAGTATAAGTCTTCGATTTTATCTAAAGAGATAAAATCAAAGTTAAATTTTAATTTTTACAGCTGTATTAAATTTGACAATAAGTTTATTTTAATAAACAATAATTTTTTTTTATGAGAACATTTTTTCTAGATAAATAGATGTAATATACTTTATTAACACAAGCTGCAGGAGAGTTTTGCCACAAAATATCACATGATACAGTAACGTATCAATCTGTATTTTATGGAGAAATTTTTTTTTCTGCTTATATCATTACTCTTGTTACTTACATTATCTGGACTTAATATAATTCTTATTAGATTCTAATATAAAATTCTTACTGTTATGATTTTTAGGATATAGGAAACATATATATATACATTTCCAGGGGTAATTGTGAGCCCAAGTCAAAATTCCGGAAAATTTCTTGAGTTAAAAAAAAAGAAGTTTAAATTGAAAAATTAGAAAGAAATTTAAACAAGGTTTTTTTCCTTTTTCTCAATATTTCTTAGTTTACTTAAAATATATTTAAAATTTGACACATACCTATACCATTTACACATACCTATGATGACCTGGAGAAGTAATTAAAATTTACAAATATGTCTTTCTTTCTTGAGTTTATGATTATAACAACTATTTGCTGAGAAAAAATGAATACTAATCATGAATGTAAGCTTAGAAAGTAGCTCTCTGGCTCTCCTTTACAGACAAATAAAAAAAACTGTGTTTTTAAGTTCTACCTTTGAAAATTTGATTTCCGGAAACTTCTGTGATCAATGATTTTTTTAAGCGTCTGAACCTTTGATCTCCGGAAACTTTCGGATCACTGTTAGTGAAAAATCCGGAAAACCGGATTTTTTCCGGAGCACATCCGGTAGAAAAAATTGTTCGCCTTAACTGAATTTGTTTCGCCAAATTTATGATTTTATCACACTCAGCAAGGCGGCAAATGCTTAAATTGTTTATATATGTATGTATATATATATGTATATATATATATATATATATACAGTGTAACGTCCCATATCCGGACGACCCTTTTCCGGAAGGGTCAATTTCCCGGACACTTTTTAACAATCAAAATAAACAAACATCTCTTATCTTCCCCTCTCCTTTAAAAAAAAAAAAAGGTCTTTGGACACGTTTTTTTTTCTTTCTCTAGCTGCTAGTGATTCATGCATTGAACCCATAAATCAACAGAAAGGGGAAGAGAAAACCTCTCAAGACCGTCTCTTCAGGAATGCAGAAAAGGAGGGAGATTTGTTTTCAAAAGAGCACAACAGAGTCCCCTCCCCCCTTCTTTCCTATGCAGCTGGATAGTAAAAAAGGCATTTCCTGGAACCTTTTTATTAGAGTGTTAGGGAAAGATGAAATACTGTGAAAAAGGGTAAACACAGTAGACGTTAACGTGGAGGAGTCACTTTCAGTCACACAAGAAAAAATAAAGGGAACCCAATCAGCATGTCGTGCCTTTATGCTTGATTGATAGCCAATGATGGGAGAGAAAATAAGAATTTGTCACTGCCCTGCCCTCAACTTGAATGACAAATAAGGAGTAAATGAATTCTCTTCTACACCTATCCACCTTAGAGATTGACGGGAATTTCCCCTTCTTGCTTGAATCGTTTCAGTTCAAAATGGCGGAGACAGGAATTAATATTTTCATAACCCTCAACTTGAATGACAAATAAGGAGGAAATGAATTCTCTTCTACACCTATCCACTTTAACTAATGACGGGAATTTCCCCTTCTTGCTTGAATCGTTTCAGTTCAAAATGGCGGAGAGAGGAATTAATATTTTCATAACTGTCAAATTTTTTTTCGTTTTCTATATTTTAAGCAATAATTATTTTTTTCTTATATTTTGTTTTTGATTGATTAGATCTCATTCTAATACTAAAACATTATTGCCCGAAAAATAATGTTTATTTACTTTTTGCTTCTTAACTTTTATTAGATCATTTTAAGCTTTGTTTACCTTGAGGGTCCATTATACGGAAAAATCTAATATCCGGATTTCCAAAAGTCCCACGAATTATATATATATATATATATATATAATGAGTAATTTTTATCCTAGAATAATTATAATTTATTTGGAAATGTCTCGGACGTAAAGGAATACGTCCAAATGATAACCTTTACGTTTTTTCCATCAAATTTTTATTTACTTCTAATTCTAATATGTTTCTCTTGCTCTGTATATATATACATACAGAGCAAGGATATATATATTCTGAGTATAACACAAATTCTAAACTCATACTTTTGAAAATGGAATTTTCACTTCTTAAATACAAAAATGTAGAAAAATTCATGGGTAATTAAGTAAAAATAGATTATTATTATTGAATACGGAAAATTTTCTTTCTCTCCTTTACTTGCAAATAAAATATGACTAACTATAGGTATTGAAAATACAAAGGGAAAAAAAAAGAGGCAAAGCTTAAAGGAGTCTGTGAGAAATAGAACAAAGCAGATCATTTTGTGCGCTGAAAATTTTTTAATTAAAAATATTTTTGCTTAAAAGATTTAGCATGGGACGAAAAGTATCCAATTTAATACTAAATAAAAATAAGCACAGCAGACATTCAATTTTTAAGGTCAAAATTAAAATACTCAATCATCATAATTCTCTAAATTTCACACATAAGGAAATATTTGTGAAAAGATTAATTAGATTTGCAAAAAGAGTTAGTCCCACCTAATTATTTATATGATAATTTGTCCCTTTCCGATTTCTGACTGGCAAAATGTTCATTCCTTAATTTCTATTGCAACTTATGACTTCATAAAGTAGACTTTTATGTACCAGAAAATATATATAGTATTTCTCAATTCTATAAAGTTAACATATTCAATTTAAACAACCATCTCTTTCACAGAAATTTAATATAGTTTAATAAAATAAATCAAAATTTTGTTTTAAGAATTTATGTAAGATTTACAATCATATTTACTTAAGCAATGGTAAAAAATTAACATTATATTGTGGTCATATAAAATTGCTTTTCAATATTTTTTTGTTTAATTGACAAGAGCATAATTACATTGGATTAAAAAATACTTAATGAAAAGTTGTACAGAAACTATGAAATAATTATTATTTTATAGATTCATACAGTTATGGTAATAAAAATTATAGCATCAGAATTGTGTTCCTAAGATTAATTGCTTCCTGCAATGAAAAGAAGTTAATTAATGTATGTTTCTTATAAAGCTGCAGTTTTCCAGTCATGAAAAGATCCACTCAAAAATGTATAGTATGACTGAGAATACAAATTTATAAATATTTATCACTTTATTTCAAACACAGTAGAGTCTCGATAGTTTGAATTTCCAATAAATCCGAGCTAGTAAAAAAAAATCATTCTCGCTTCCAAACCAACACACACAAAACAGGTGGAACAATTACTATGATTGGTTTTACGACGATTACTACAACTGAATGTTAAAAAACAAATTTGTGTATTAAACACTGAAACATGTGAACAGTGTGTTTAAATAAAAAACATTAGATAATTATTTTAAAGTACAATTAACCTGATGCAACAATATAATGAATATTGTAACTTGGTGTAAAGCAGTGAATGTACCCTGATCATCTAACGTAAGTAAATTTTCTTTAAATATATTTTTAGAGGTCTGTCTAGGTTTTTCTGAGAGATACCTATTTTGTGAAAATTTAGACATAATTAGTCAAAATTAAAAATTATATTATAAAATCAACACAAGAATATGGTAAAAATATGGATTTATCGTTTCTTACAGGATACAAAAATAAAATTTCAAGAAAAAATATTTTTTGAAACTACCGTTTTTCCTTAAGTTGAATTAGTGAAGGTACCGTTAAACGGTAGTAAATTTGGCCTGGACAGACCCCTGATTTTTTAATTAAATACTGAAATTTGAAAATTGCTTTGTTCCCATTAATTAAAATTTTTCCTAAATCTCAAGTTCTTGGTAATTCGAGTTTTCGAAATTTCAAGGTAAGCTCAATACTGCCCTCCTCGAATTATCGAGACTCAACTGTATTGTACTACTGTACTTATATATTTATTGCAATTTGCCTTATATATTATATTTGCTTTATATGTATTGATCTTATTGATTCTTATACTGTTTATTAATTAATATCTTCCTTTAAATTGTCATTACCCTGCGCAACTATAACAAAAGGCATTTTGAGATGCTTCAGAATATAAATAGATTTTAAAAAAAAAACAGTATAATTTAGAATAGATTAAAAGATTTCAGGTAATTTTTTTCCTGAATCTTATCAATAAATACTGCTGCTCGTGTAGCTTCTTTACTTACAAACAATTTTAAACAAATTTTTAAAGAGGAAGAGCTGACTGTTATATCAGAGTTAATAAAATTTTTCAGATTATGATATTTAAAGATAGATTCTGGGGTATTTAATTTGTAAGTGAAAGACTAAAATAGTGCAACAATCACATTCTTTGCTATCGAACTGCAGAGAATGACAAGCAAAATAAATATAATCAGCTACTATAATAATAAATTCTAATAAAATACATAAGAGAGCGATGAGGATGAAAGCACTTACGTAGGATCTGTACGAGCCGACTGAGCAAGTGGATTTTGACTACTGTAAGGTATGAGTTCCAATCCCCAAACTTTTAAAGCAGATGCTATTACTTGAATAGAAAAGTAACCCGAATCATCCACATTCGTAGAAGGTTGCTACAAAATATAAATTCAAATTAATTCTTTCATATTGTTTAAAAACTAGAATCAGGGTGTGAAATACCTACTCACCAGCTTGTCATCAAATATCAAGTATTTAAGGCAAGTATGTCTTATCTTTTAAAATATTCAATTCTAAACTACATACAAGTTCAAGCTCTCATTATTTGAAGTAGTAGTTAAATTGGAAAAAAATAAGAAGAAAATGCATAAGTTCTTAAAATTTTACTTTTACCTATAACAATGCTTGCTTTGCTGATATTTTATGTATATGTCACGGCGAAAGACCAAAATCGGTGGTTGTTGACTTTCACAGGTGAATGTTGACAAATGCCAAATACGTCAGGGAAAGATCGAATATTTCATTACATTCTTGTACATTCGGACCCTCACCGGTGCGTGTCGACAATCATAGATATGCTTTGGTGAATGTCCGAAATATTTATTACATTCGATTTTATATGAATTTATTCGTGGATATAATTACATTTATTCGATATTTTAACTGTACACTTATGTTTTTTTTAAGGTTAAGTGCCACTGCCCGGTATACCCTACACTGATGTTTTTTTAAGGTTAATTGCCACTGCCCGGTATATATTTGCCCGTTATACCCTACACTGATGTTTTTTTAAGGTTAAGTGCCACTGCCCGGTATACATTTGCCCGGTATACCCTACATTGATGTTTTTTTAAGGTTAAGTGCCACTGCCTGGTATACATTTGCCCGATATATATGTTTCTTCTAACCTATCGTCAGTAAGTATTAAAATATAGAATAAATATAAATATATCAAATAAGTATATGTTTCTTCTAATCTATCGTCAGTAAGTATTAAAATATAGAATAAATATAGATATATCAAATAAATATAATAATATTAACGAATAAATTAATATAAAATTGGATATAACAAATATTTCGAACATTCACCAAAGCGACTCAGTGATTGTTGACATTCACCGGTGAGAGTCAGAAATAAGGGTATTTAGCAAATATTTCGGACATACACCAAGCGACTACATGAATGTTGACATTCACCGGTGAATGTCGACATTCTCCAGAATTCAGTGTTTCACCATAACATATATATTTTTTTATTATTTGTATGTTGTGGTGGTAAAAAGCTTTTTAAATAAAATATTTAAATTAAAACAGAAATTCTGCTACACTTCAAATATTTGGCAGATCTGCTATATACATTTAGATAATCGTGCCTCTGTAAAATTTCGAAATTATTCTTGTGAATAAAAAAAAAAATTGGGAACGTTATTATTCTGTGCATCAGGGCTGCGGAGTTTGCGCTCTATGAACTAAAATGAAATTTGCTGATGCCAACTTGCTCTTACTCTGTCTTAATATATACAAGGTATCTGCAACATTTTAGATTTTCAAATCCATGACTTTTCATGACTAATTCCAAGAATTTTTCATGACTTTATGAAGTTACTAATTTCTCCGACAAAAACACAACAATAAATTTAAAAAAGCATTATAATAACACTTATTGAAGTGACATGTATAATCAAAACTTATATTCTGCTTCTTCATATTTATGGATGGTGTTTTCTACACTAGTGAACGCTGCAAGCTCGGTACCGCCTAAATTTCCGGGTTACTGTTTCCGTTGTATTTTAAAGCCATTCGGCGTCATTGTGTTTTGAGATTCTTGAAACAATGTATTTGATTACTTATTACTTGTGCTTACAATGCTAACAATACTTGTGTTTACAATGCTAAAAGTGTTAACACTAACGTAAGATGGTGCACAGCTTGCAACAAGAATAAACAGTAATAAACTTATGGAAAGAGGCCAAAACAAGACTGACAAAAAAGCGAGTTATTCAAAATCTAGTAACCATGTCACCTTTTTTAACAATATATTTCTAAATAACTAAAAAAAAATTTCACTTCAAACTCACCAGAATTACATAATAACATTAATATCTTATGAAATACGGCAGATTTGAGCTCAGAAATTATCTAATTTATTTCTTTTATTGAAAACAAAATTATCCGTTTGAAAATATAGCCTCGCAGAATAACATGTAGTAAGCAGCCGCAAACTTTCAAACCGGAACTAGAGCAGGCATACAGCTCGAGATTGTTATTGTTTACATTTCTACTGAAAACACCATCCATAGATTTTAAATTTAAAAACAGAGTAAAGAAAGAGTTGAAACAATAAAATAGCTGGAAAAAAAAACAAAAAAGCAAATAATTTTTTTCTTCTTTTTTTCTGCAGAACAATATTCTAAAGATAAACTTTTCTTGTTCATCAGAAGAAAAAGAAATACTCCTGATTTTTCTGCTCTCATTTCGGAATAAAAAAATTCGCCAATGACTGACTTGCTTCAGCTAGAATTTGAAATTGATAAAAAAAAAAATTTATAATAATAATAAAAATTCTGAAATCACAGAAGTTTAAAAGATAATTTGCTCTAGAAATGATGTTTCTTCTTTCATTTTTTGAAAGATCACCATCATTTTAAAAGAACATGATAAAAACATTTTATATTTTAATCAAATATCACTGTGAGTGGGGATTTTGTAACAAATTCAGATATTCAGAACACCATAAAATTGGGGGGAGGGGGTGAATTCCATTCTAAAAATTAGATTTTTCCGCAACCTAAATCCATGACTTTTCATGATTTTTTTTCAAAAAATAGTTACAATTATGACATTTCATGACAAATTTTGCTCATTACCAAAATTCATGACTTTACATGATTTTTCATGACATTCCAGGTGCTCGGATACCCTGTATATATATGCCAGTGTTTAAAATTATTGGTGGCTGACTGATCTGAGACCACCAAATTCCCCTTGGGTTACTCTGAAATAATACACCCAAGATTGTGGGACAAACAACTAGTCTGCTTTTAATCTATTGTGGAACAATGACAAGTTAATTTGGTTGGAATGGTTTGGGTAGAATGGAATGATTTAACATAGCACTTCTGTGACATATCTTAGTTAAATTTATTCATTTCATTTCTAGTTCATAATAGAATTATTTAACTTTAAGATGCAAAATGTAATTTTAAGAAATAGGAGCACCTTTTTTAAAAAACTGGATGATACATTAAAAAATATTCATGTAATTCAAAATCAGTATTTGACAAATTACAAATTGCCAGAGTTTGAAGTGGGAAATAACAAAAAATACATTGCAAGCATGCATTTTTAAACATTGATGCTTTCTGAATTTCAATTGGATAGTAGCTGCAATTGTGAGCATCTATTTATTCATTTTTTTTTATAAGACCAATTAGTGATTTATTAAGTTGTTAAATAAATTTTCTATAACTAATCAAGTTTTATTCATAATGAATTAATAAATGTAATCTTATTATGAAGCATGAAAATGATTTTACGTGATTTACAAACATATTTAATGTCAAATTTTGTGTGGACCAGTACCTAACGATTATGCCTAAACTTTATTTTATATAGTTATTACTTATATTTTACATATATATATAATTTCTAACGCTGAATATATATCTGCATGTGGGAAGAATAAAATTTAATATTCAGAACAAATCAGTACAAATAAAATTAAAAAATGTTCCTAATATTCTCTAAAATTAAAAAAGATTAAAAAAAATCTATAATTCTAGAATTTCTATCATAACCAAGAAATTAATTTACTACTGAATTAGTAACAAATTCTGTAATTTGAAAGAAAAAAAAATTGTTAAAGTCAACTTTAAGGAAAAATAATTTTTTTTCCTTCTGCACACCCATGCATATTTTATGAATTATGTACAATAAACCACAATGCAAATAAATTAATATCACATTTTAATTTACTTTAAACTTATTCACTTTAAATTTATGCATACTAAATATATTTTTATTTATTGTTTTTAAATTTTATTATGTGCTTCCAGGTAAAATCATTAGTCATACATATTTGTAAGTAATACTTTCACACACTCTAAATACTTATATTCTGCTTTTTAAAAACTGCAGATTTATGTTGCTGCTGGCTCCATCTATATAGATGGAGAAAAAAATGAAAATTGAATTTTCTGCATGCAAAATAGCTTGTTTTGTATTTTTACTTGCAAAAATTTGTGATAATCTTCTGAATGAACTCCACCTTCAGCCATACGAGAACGCTCTTCATCATCCATCTGTCTTGCTAAAGCAGCTAATTCAACAGCAGTAAAATAGTGGGCTTGCAAAAGAGCATTTAAGCAATGTTGAGCACATAATGAACCCTCTTGCTGTGAAAAGAACATTGAAGCATTTTAGAATCTTACTGAAACAAATATTAATAATTCAGTTTATCAAGAACAAATGATTATAGAGTTCTTTATCAAAGAACAACTGGAACACATACACACCCCCTAGCAGAATTGTAGCTACACGGCTACATTGTTGCAGAATGTTAGAGTTCTCACAGAAAAATTTTCTTTTGAAAAGTTTCAATAAATGACATTTCTTTTTCTACAGAAATTTATATTTAATATTTGAATCAAGCATTTAGATAGTCACTCTTTAATATGCTCAAATTACGGCGATGATTGTTGCTGATATATTTCATTCATTGTAATGTTATGATTGCGTTTTCGGCAATTATTGATATTAAACTTTTACGTAGTTTTTAAATATCTAGACATATTTCAAACAATATGGAAATTTTGAATCTTGCATTTGAGTATTTAATTTTTAAGCCAACAATTTTATGGAATTTTTGGCAGTTATTGCTTTTGTTTACTCCATAGTTTTTAAATACGACATATTTATTCATTATTATTTATTACAATAACCTAATCGTAAAACAAGGCACGCACTTCAGGAGTTCGATTCGCATGATTTCATCAATCTTTTTAAGGCAATTACTACTACTACACACACAGATTTCATGATTTTTAATTATTTTTTTATTGTGTTGATTATTTACAAAATATGAAAAAGAAAATAATTTGTGCATTCCCTCCTCCAACAAAATGCGAGAATATCCCCCTTAATATTAGAATAAAAAATTATTTCATGTTCAATTAAAAAAAATTATATATATTTTTTTGTAAACACAGCACTACTTTTACTTTTTAAAATAAGCAATATATATGTTTGTTATTACTAAAAGTATCTTGGAGAAAGATGTTAGTGCTAGAGAGGTTTGTTACAGATGCTCGAAAATTTCTGACACACGTAAATCATACACGTGATTGGTCAAGCACAAAAATGTCTGAAATTTTTTGTGTCTATAAAGTCATACCCATTTATTAGGTCATACATTACACCCCATAGCAAAATCGTGATGTCATTGTTGCAGAACATTACAGAATTCTTGCAGAAAGATTTATCCTTTGGAGGGGGGAACATTTTGATTTTCTTCTGTGCAAAAATTTACGATTTTTTTTTTTTTTTTTNTTTTTTTTTTTTTTTTTTTAGCAGAATTATATTTAAAAGATGCCTTTCTTGTAAATTGGGAGAGGAAGGAACTGCTCCTGATTTTTCTATTTTCATTTGAAAATAAATAAATAAAAAAAGCGATAATGACTGGCTTCATCTAGAATTTCAAATGATTTCCGAAATTGTAAAAATTTAAATGATAGTTTGTTCCAGAAATCATGTTCTATCTTTCATTTTTTTTCAAAGAACATGATATTTTACATTTTAATAAAATATGATAGTCAGGAAAAATTGTTAGAAATTCAGATTTGTAGCAAAAGAATCAATCAATGTGGTACATTTGACCTTTTTTTATTTAATCAACATGCATGTTAAATCAAACCATGATTTTTAATATATTATGCACATGAAAATTTTAAATAATGTATTTGAGTCTTTACTCATGCTGCTTCAATCTTAAATATAAGTAGTGTTTTTATGATTTTCTTTTGGCAATTATTGCTATGAATTTTTGTTCAGTATTTTTGAAATCCTGATGTCTTTCATTGCTCAGCTATTATTATTGATATTTTCGTGATTTTTTTTTATAAAAAATATTGATATTAATACGGCACGGTAAGTTTGAATTGCGGATTCAAGAAATCCCTCTTTGACAAGCTCAATTTGCTCTGTATGTGGTGCTGTAAACATTCTCTTGACAGTTATTTGAAAGAATTTGATCAAATTTTTCTAAAAAAAACCTAAATTCTTTTTTTTACAAAAAAAAAACTTCACAGGGTGGCCACTCAGATTAGGTTTCAAATTTCCCTGATTTTTCTATTTCTGGCCAGGTTTTTGGCTTTTTCTATTCCTTTGTTGGTAAATGTGGCCCACCCTATGAACGGGTGGCGTGTGTAATGTTGCTCGCCTCGGTGACTAAGGTTCATAGATGCCCATCGAGAATAGTTAAAGAGCAACACTTCTGGCATCTTCCAAGGCAAATGAACAAGAATACAGTGCCTACCATTAAAATATTAAAAGAAAAGAGGTTCCTCTTTGAGATATTTTTCCTTAGTTTCTCGCAGGCCACTGCATGGAAGTTGCCACAACTTAAAGATTATTTTGCTGCAGATCATGATAAGGAAATCTCACAATCAAAATATTACAGCAATTTTGCATTCTTAGAGTAATGCGTAATAATGTAAGTAAAATGTGTTTTATTATTAAGGCATAATGTGCCATAGAAATGTATTATAAATGTAAAATGTGTTTTCATTTTTGCCAATAAAAGAATATTGAATTGTGAAAAAAAAAGTCTTTAAAAAATTGCTGTCTGTGAATTCAAAATTAAATGAATATCATCTATAAAAGTCTCATAGGCTATAACAAAATTAAAGAATGAGAAGTAAAGCTCACATTAATATGTTTTTCATTTTGAAAAAAAAATTGTTTCTAAATCATAACTTCACTAAGCATATTCAAAAACTCACAATAATCCAATTAACTCGAGAATAAAAAGTAAAAATTATATAAATTTAATAAACTTAGAAGTAACAGGTAAAGTGGGCAATGAGATAAATATGCTTTGACATAACCAATATTTAAAAAGTTTTTTAGTGAAATGACATGTTTGCTACCTTTTCGTGAAATATTTCTTCCATTGCAATAAAATAATTGAAACTGTAACTTAAGGCTTGAAAACATCGAAACCTGAACAATAAATGTTATTAAAAACGGCAATAAATTGTAAATATTTTGTTATTTTAACAAATTAATCCACCGGACCCATTCTCACCAAAGTTGTTGACACAATTCATTTAATTTTTATGTTTTCATTTCAGTTTCAACCTTGTTGCCAAACAAACATTACTGTAAAAGAACCCAAAATTCACTTATGCGAGCCCAACATGCTTCTAAACTTAAGGTTATTTTCACTAAACAGATTAGAAAGTATTCTCACTGGATGCGAAATAATTATAAGAAGAAGAAGGGAAGAAATTTGTGAAATATATTCTCCCACGAAATTTCACCAATCAGGTTCCAATGATTCCGATCGAAACTGCGCAAATTGCATACAGTGAACTAGCGCGACGTGAAATTCTATGATGCCAATGCAAATGTTCAAAAATAAGGAGTCGATGTTCAAAATGCTTTATTTTTGAATAGGTTGTTGTTGTTAATTTACGTCGCACTAGAGCTGCACAATGGGCTTTTGTTGTTGTTGTTCATTTACGTGGCACTAAAGCTGCACAATGGGCTATTGGTGACGGTCTGGGAAACATCCCTGAGGATGATCCGAAGACGTGCCATCGCAATTTTGATTCTCTGTGGAGAGGATGGCACCCCCGCTTCGGTAGCCCGACGATCTGCACGCGATGTCGAGCACTTTAAGGTAGAACAGTTTAACGAGGACCAATACCGCACAACCTCGGTCCCTACGCAGCCTGATCCAAGTGGTCACCCATCCGCACACTGACGTAGCCAGTGATGCTTGACTTCGGTGATCTGCTGGGATCCGTGTCTTAACGATCAGTCCACTGCGGGACATTTTTGAATTGGTAGGAATAGTTTGTCTAAAGTAAGAACTCCCCCAGACATTCGTCTGGACTTGTGGATGTGACTATGGTAACGAGGTATGACCATTTCAAGTGCAGGATCACTGTTTTGGAGTGTTTCTGGTTCGGGTCCTCGAAAGAAAGGGAATATCTTTCTTCGTTCTATTGTTTTAGTCCTAGAGTGCGAATCTACCATCTTTAAAATGCGCCATTCTTGTTTCCATAGCACCAGACTTGAAGTTTTTACCTTAGACAAACTAACTATAAGTACTTTATTAACGTCGTGCTTAGAGCTGCAGAATATAAAAGGGCTCTAATATTTACGGCAGATTCTCTGAAAAATGATTGGAAACGATACGATTTCCAAGTACGCAGAGGCGCACGAGCTTATTAAAATTTTCTGCGATGGGCAGCAAGTTTCCTAAAGGAGAATTCACTGCTACACCAATAATCGACGTCCAGAGATAAAGGAATCTGATTGGTAAGTTTTACACGGGAAAGTATATATCTCCATGGATGATCGAAGGCATTAGGCAGGAATGCTCTTCAACTTTAATCTGTCATATTACCGCCAAAGCGATTGTCTTAAAAGTTTAAACTTTTATGTGGTTCAGAGCAATCCCTAGACTCCAAAATGGACAATACACTGAAACCCATGGGTTTGAGATCTGGAGGGAAAAGTCAATATCTCCTAGAAAAGAGAAGGCCTCAGCACGGATTACCATAAAAAAGAAGTTTGATCCTATAGTAGTCCAAACGTAAAGACATCTTTAGTGTTTACTACCTCCTCACAGCATAGAAGTCAGACCATAGTGATATCTTTATTTTTCATCGACTGTGCAGTTTATATTCGTTACGTCGGACTATCAAATTGATTCGTGCCGAGGTCTTTTTTCTAGGTGTTGGTAGAGTGGCCATTTTTTAGATGATTTCACGTCAGGAAAATGTGCCTTGTACCACTCCTCGTCTTTTTTGCCCTTGAGAGCTGGAACTGAGTCTAGTTGAAACATTCAGTTTACATTCTTTTTGGCCCACGGGAGCGCAGCAGTTTCTAGAATGTCCAGCTCTACACTTTATGATTTATTTTAATGCCCTTATCCGCAAAAACCAGATGTATTTTGCGACTTGCACAAATGACCATGATAGACGTTGGATTTTTGAGATGACCAATAATTGCCGAGGTGCTTGGAGAATCTACATACCAGATCATATAATTCTGGGAGTTATCAGTTTGTTGGGTGGTAAAGAGCTTCCCATCAGTGAAAAGGAATATCTCTCAACCGGAATCAGTGAAAGGAATATCTCTCAAAGGAATATCTATTGCATTGCGGTCTACTGCTGAAACTTTCAATTAGCATTTATGTCTTTGAATTGCTGCAAAAGCAGCCATATTGAAACCAATAAAATTTATTTTTTAGTAAAAGTTTTCTCTTATTATTTGTTAATTTATTTATTTTTAATATTTAAAATCGTTTGCACTGCACTCTATATATGCATAAGCTGTTTAGTTATAGAAACAGACAAAAAAAAAAAAATGTTTTTTTTTTAAAACATCAAAATGAAGATGTAGATGCAATCTAAAAAATATGGTCAAAATTATTTATTTTAAGTCAAGAGGTCAATTAGGTGATGTTAATTTCTTGGAATGAATTTGATAATTTTTAAAGCGAATCGAAAATTTTTTACACATAAATAAGCAGAACAGACAAAACAAATTTATTTATCCTAAGATAATTCCACGTAAAATATAATTTCTTTTAATTAATAGAGGTCGAAAAAATATTTAATAGTACGATATTCTAATTTTTAGACTATTTATAACAGTGGTTTCCAACTTAAATGAGGCCAGGGGCTACAATAAAAAACACCAGTCAAATGGCGGGCCGCAACTTTGTCAAAATTTTATGTGACTCATTTATGTTTGAAGGAAAATTAAATATTACAGTCAGATTTTTATCAAGTTGATCAAAACAAAAGTATTGAATTACAAACAATAATAAATAGTTTTTTTAATAAATATTTTCTTGGATGCAAAACCTGAGAAATATTTTTTTTTTTGCACCGTTGGTATGTCAAGCTGCACAGAAACGAAAAAATTAGTTTTTATTTTAAGTGAAAGAAAAGTACTTTAAACCCATATAGATTTTTTTACGAAAATTGTCTGCAAAAAATGAAAACTAATATATTCTAGTTTGCGGACCCTCCCCCCCCCAAAAAAAAGGGCTCCGCGGGCCAGATGCGCCCCGCCAGTTGGCAACCACAGATTTATAACTATGTAGTTTTAAATGACAAAATACAAAATTCCCAGGACTTTCCAATGTTAAATTTAAATGCAGTTTTATAGACAGGTTAATTTTGCTATCAGTAGAAAATTTTATCTCTTTAAAAGTAAAAGGCATTCAGTCTAAACTAAAAAAAAAAGTAGCCAATAACGGAGAAACGTTTATAAACATTTATTAAAACAATAAGATATAACAAAGATCACAAAAATAGCAATAATTAAAAACAATGAATGCTACTAATACTATAGCCATATCATAACTAAATTGCAACATAAAGAAAGTAAAAATTTTAGCAAACAGCTCAATTGAATACTAGAAATGAAAAATTACAATTTCAGATTACAGTCAATTCTTCATTGTAAGATAGAACGAAAAAAAAAAGAAATCATATCAAATCATCAATACAATAGTATATCAAACTTGAAATCGAATCTTCAAATCATATATCAAACTATATTTATACACAATAATGAAGCCAGCCTCATTAAAGATGACTTTACCGATAAAGATATTATAGAAATCATTTAATACAGACCAGAAAATGTTTAGTAAAAAAATAATAAGACTTTTTTGTTTTGACACAATGAAAAAGAAATTAAAAATTCTCTTTCAAAAAGAGTAGTTTAAAGATCTGGAATGGAGTGATCCATAGTTTTCTTGATAAAACTTGAAGCAGTGCTAAAAAGAAAAAGAAAAAAAAAATCATGAAATTAAGATCCTTTTTAACATTTACTAAAAATCCTTTAAGACATCATATACAAAAAAGTATAATAATATTTCTTAGATAGAACAAGCTGCCCCTTGATAGTAAATGACAATGAGAGAAAAATGGCTGACAACAGTATGAAAGGAGAAATATTTAACCGGCTTATTATAAGTTAAAAAGTGAGAATAGGTTTCTGCATTAATAAATTTGTTCTTGTTTATAAAAACGGTTTAACTCCTTGCTCAAAACGCTCGCATAGAGAAGCCTCTTAATCTGGACCACTTGTTGTACTTGCCATTAGACAAAGGTAAATATTCTGAAAAATTTCCATTTTTCTCTCATTGTCAACTTAAACTAGTTAGTGAAGGAAAGCTCACACAGAGGGAAACATCCATGTTTGAAGCACATCAAAAATAGGCGTTCATTTTCGATACTTAATGTAAAGATGATTTGTAATAAAAATGTTTTTACTGCTAATACAATAACAATTAAAGAATTTTCTAAAAATTAAGCTAATTCTCCAACATTAAGCATAATTGCCTAAATAATATATCTTATATAAACACCAGGGTTTGATTTAATTTCTGCAAATTTTTATAGTGCAATTTTCATTGAGCAGCAAAGCTTTATAGAGTAAAAAAGTAATGCTAGCAAAATTAGGGTTCATACAGGCAGTTTTTAAGGTGGCACCACAAAAGATTTTCCAAAGCAACTATTTTTAATGAAATTTATTATAGAGTTGAGATAAAAAATTAATGATAAATTGAAAAATAAGCAGAGATATGAATGGCTCCAAGATATTTACTCAGTGATAATTGTAAAATGATATAGTAAGTTAACTGCTATATTTGTTTTGTTTGCTACAAAAATAGACTAATAAAATGAAGAAAAATGAATATTTTCTTTCAAAAAAATAAATACACAAGCCATTGATATAATGTGTGAGCCATTCTTGTGGAAAAGTACATTTTGCAGTGAATTAGCTAATAATTTCTAAAAATTCTGCTAAACAACACTAGAGCGTGTTAATTAGTCAAAAAAAGCACAGTGTTGACATTTCATTGGAGTGACCTATTGCCAAAAAACAATCACTGAATGGTAAATATTATATAGTTATAAAGAAAATTTAAACACTGAAATGTACGTAGGCCAGTAGTAATATTATTTTAAAATATCAGGATTTTCCATATGATGCGACAACTGTAACAGGGTGGATAGCCAAATTATTCAACAAAAAATAAGCACTTTTCAAGTACTCAAAAATATTTTTAAGCACTTAAAAATATCATAATTAGGCAGGGTTGGAAAGTTTTTGACAATTGACGGTTTTATCTTGTTTTAACCGTCATGTCCAAAAAAATAAATAAATTGTTTTTGACCATTGTCAAAAAGCATGTAAAACGAATGACATTTCCAAACGCTACGGACTGACAATACGNCCTTTTAAGCACTCAAAAAATATTTTTAAGCACTTAAAAAATACATCATAACTAGGCAGGGTTGGAAAGTTTTTGACAATTGACGGTTTTATCTTGTTTTATCTTCATGTCAAAAAAATAAATAAATAAAAAATTTGGCATTGTTTTTGACAATTGTCAAAAATCATGTAAAACGAATGACATTTTCAAACGCTACGGACTGACAATACGGCGAAACAGATTGGGGTTGAATTAATTGTGAAAATGTTGAATAGAACAATGTGAACTGTGTCTTTTGCATAATTCGTAGCGAAAATCAACATAGTAAAGGAAAAATCTCGTTTTAAAAAAGGGAGCATTAAGCACTTTTTAAAAACACCTACAGAAAAAAGCACTTTTAAAAACGCTACGCACCCTGTGTAATAACTGCCGAGAAAACAATAAGAAAATGTTGTTGATTTACGATGACAAAGTAACAAATTAAGTGCATCGAAAAGTGATAAATCAAATTTAAAATTTAGTTGACATCATATCATACATATCAGCTATTCTATCAAATCGATTATAATTATTGTAAAAATAAAAATATATTAGAATTTAGAAAATATACACTTTCTAATAGTTAAGATGTTTTATGAATATATAAAAAATACCCATTAAAATTCTAACAATAGTTTGAACACGCTGAAATGTAACAGTCGTTAAAACAGTTAAATAGCATTATATATCACTATTCTTTTATCTTTTTTATAATCTTTTCTAAATTTGGCCTATACTTATTAATGAAAATTTGACTACGAGCACAATCTTATAACCAAGTAACTCACACAACATTATTATTATTATTTTTTTTAAATTTCCGCAATCAAAACTTTAATGAGGGTTAAAAATTTAATTTTTAAACTAGAAAGGCTAGTTAGGCAATATAAAAAATTCTGGAGTTCTAACTATCAAAAATTAAACTTATTCAAGGTAATACATGTAACAAAAAGTTACATGTGCAACTGTTCTGTATGATAGAGCTATTTTCAAACATTATTTTAAAACGAAATTTCCATAGTTAAAAAGTTAATTTTATCAAATGAAAATTTGTTTCACTAGACTGCCGGGAAATATTAATAAGTAATGCAGAGCAGCTTAACTATGTTACAGCTAACTTCTACTTGTTATTTGTACATATTTTAAGTGGAATATTCCAACTATCCAGTCTAAAAAAATGTCTAATTCTGGAAATGAAAGAATAATAAAAGGTGGAAAGACAAAAAAAAAAGTGAAAAAAAATGGAATCCTTATGGAAAGAAAAATAAATAAGATAAGTATTCTTGAGAAGACCCAGTAGAGGGCTTAAGTAGCAGAACGAGTGCAAAAATGCAAATGGAAGAAAAGAAGATGAAAAAAAAGTTAGATAATAACATATTGAATTTTAAAAAGATCACAAAAACCTTATTACATACTTCAGTCATTTGGAAAAGCAGCTTAAAGTGCTCCCTGATTTTTAATTTAGTATCAGGGTTAGTAAAGGAAGCTTTTCTCAAACTTTTAAAACAGTTAGGGTAAAGAGATAAAACATTCATCCTAAATTCTTTCATAAAAATGATAATGTACATCGAAATTTTTGTTCTTTTTATTTCAATCTTTAAAAAAATTTTTTCATTATAAATATTAACCAAATATTAAAAGTAATTGCATTAAAATAGAAATATTCAAAGAGTGAGGAAATACTTACTTTTTCAACATGTGGTCATAAATAAATGAAGGCATAATGGTAACAGTAACCGGAGACTCACTCTCTCTTATGATTGCTGAAATTTCTTTGTCCTGCAATCCAACTACATTTTGGCCATTTACCTGTGAAGAATAAAATATGCTCATTATAAGTTATTAAAATTAACTTTAGAACATTTTTCAATGTAAATACTGAAATATATATATATATATAAATATATATACAGTCGAACCCCGCTATAGTGAACCGTCTGCGGACTCAGTAATGTGTCCACTATAACCGATGGTTCACTATATCCAAATTTTTTGAAGAATATTTTTTGCATAAGACAGTTGAATGATTGAAAATTGGCTTTGCAATTTTGCATAAGTTATTTAAAAAATTATTAAGTAATTAACAGATAATTAAGCAAAAATTGATGGAAAAAGTAATTACGTCGCTAAATATTAGTTTTATTTTAATTTTTTATGAAAAAAATTTGTGATTTTTGATTGAACACAATTTGATTTTAAATTGAGTTCATCAATTTTCTTATCTACAATGTGCAAAGAATGCAAGATTTTAACATTTTGAACAAGATTTCGAACCATCTTAACAAAGCATCTTCTACGTTTTCTCTTTCAGCTCCACGCAGTTTTTTCGATGAAACCATGTTTTTGTCGTATGCCGCAAGAATTGTACTTCGATTTTTCCAAATGTTTGAAACTGTAGATTTTGACTAGGAAAATTCCTTACACAGTGTCAATTGATTGGTTCCATCATCAATACGCTTTACAATTTTAACTTTGTCCTCTATCGAAAACTCTTTTCTCTTTAGAGAATTTGCTATTTTCACTGCTTTTGAAATAAAAATCTTGTCTGAAATAGATAATGTAAGAATATGAAGAGAGCAGCTGTAGAATGAGTTAAATTGTTGCCCTTCTTAATTGTTAAGGGGTGATTTGTAAAGAATATGGTTTGAACAGATAAGAAAATTCCAAAAATTCAGCAGGTGGCCAAGTTAACTAGTTGTAGAGCAAGCTTGGGGAAAAGAGATAAAGCGAGGCTTGGCAGGGAGGGAGGAGTATAAGATAAATGATCTGTTTGACATTCATTACAGTATAGTTAGAAGTGATAAGCATAAAGGAGAGTAATATGACACATTTTATAGGAATGCATTCATTTTCAATCCCAACACCTACAAGTTTAAAGATGGAGGACTGAAAAAGATATTTAAGGAAATGAAATGTGAGTCCACTATAACCGAGTTTCCAAGTTCTAAGCAGTTCACTATAAGCGTTAAAAATAACATTATTTAAATAGGAATACGGACGGGACCGGAGTGTTCACTATATCCCAGGTTCACTATAGCGGGGTTCGACTGTATATATATATACATATAAATTGATATGATATAGAAATTATGATTTTTGGATGTAAAAGTATGTTTTGGAATTTAGCTCATGATTCTAATGACTTAAAAATAACTTTCTTCATTTCAGGTCTTTATAATTAGAGTTTTTTTTGTTGTTGCTTATATTGCACCCTTCTAGGTAAATGAAATTGCATAATTTAGTTGCATGTTGAGAGACTTAGATATATTCTTTGACCTTGACTGTAGTTCTTGCATGATAAGTAGTATTTGTGAAAACTTTGGAAATCACAGGTTAAATTTAAATGTATGAAATTAAATAATTTTATGTTTTAGCATTTTAATTTTTAAATGCAGATGTACATCAATAAATAACTAAATTATTTATTAACTAAACTATTAATAAATAACTAAATTTTTATAATGTACAAAATTTGTTTAAAAGAATAAATTACTGCAATCCTCCTTTGTAACAGGTTGTTCACCCTTAATTTAATGTTATGAGAAATAAGTTGTAGCTGAGCAATAAATTTTGATTCTACTAAACTTTACAAGTAATAATTTATAGAATAACAATAAATTTAAAAATAAAATAAATCTTTGAGGGAATGAAAATAAAATCCTCCAAGTATGTTCTGATATTCTTTAAGTTAGTTTTGAAATATGTTTAACAGTTTATGAAACTAACTTCAAGAAGATTGTGCTCAATGAGCATTCCATTGCGAGCAGCAGAAGAGTCCTTAACAATGTTGATTACTTTCCCATTCTTGAATCCAAATCCCACAGTTCCAGCACTATCCTTGTGGACAGTAATGGTCCTTTCAAATGGCCTGCAATCAGAGAGAAACATTAAGTAACAAGGATAGACATATGAAATAAAATGTAAAACAATCTTAAGTGGAAGATTTACAGTTTAATTTTGTTAAAGAGTTTTATTTTGGGAATTTAACAATGGATAAAACATTCGCAATAAAATCCGTTTTTGAGTAATAGCATAAATACAATTGTTAATATTATAAATGACACATTGCAGGTAATGTTTATGGATAAATATTAAATTTCTCAGGTTTAAGCATATAAAAATAAATCTAAGAAAAGAAAGTCCCTCTTATTATAGTCAACTCAAATCATTTTAAAAAAGGTCTGTGAAAATAGCATCCAAATTCTTTTACTACCGAAACATATACCTTATGATGCCCGGTGGCTGAGTGGTAGTGTTTTGCACTTCTGTGCCACAGGTCTTGGGTTCGATTTTCAGACTGGGCAAGGTTGACTCAGCCTTTCATCCCTTTAGTGGGTCGATAAATGAGTACCAAGCATGCTTGGGAACTAAACACTGGGGGGTTTCGCTTTCGGTTGACCGGAACATCTATTCTTGCACCCCAGAGCCCAAAGTCAAGAAAACTGAGATGGGCACAGTAGGCCTTGGCCCTCTATAGGCTGTAGTGCCACTGAGTTTAGTTTACATATACCTTATACAGTGTATATATGCCTCATAGCTTAAAAAATTACACAGGGTTCCCACTCTATAATGAGATTGAAATTCAAGGACTTTCCAGGACCTCAAAAAATTTTCAAGGACCTTAATCTAAGACCAATTTTTAAAATTATTCTCTTCTATTTTACTAGAAGCAACAATGCTTGTTGTGGCAATAATTAATATCAAATATAATACCTAAATGCTTTGCCTATATAGAGAGAAGAGAGTATATGTATCACCCCGAATGCATTGATTTTCTGCTGTGCTCCGCGCGCTTGGCAGACACCAAGACGCTAGGCAGGGTTAGAAACGGTGGCGTTAAAAACCACGCGAGAGAGCTCGGGAACAAAACAGAAAAAAACGAGAAAGATCCGCGGGTGTTTTATAAAAAGGGCCGTCGGCAGCATTGGACAAATTCAAGGACGTATCAAGTTTTTCAAGGACCTAAGACGTTTTTCAAGCACTTTCAAGGACCTAAATTTAGCAACAAAAAAATTCAAGGACCGTGGGAACCCTGTCACACCAAGTAAATGCACTAGAGTTATCGTGTGAAAAATTAAACAAAAACATCATCCCACATTACATAAAAATATATATTTTTTGTAATCCATGAGTCATTTAAACTAAGGTTTCTAAAAAACTATAAATTGAAATGTTAATAAAAATATATGGAATTTAAACTTTTTACGCTTTTCTTTTCTGTTGCACTACTATTCAACAGTATGCTTGAAAATCATGTTATAATTGACACTTTCATTAGTAGCATGAAAAAGGTGTCTTTCATGAAATAAAGGTCAGCAAATTTCTCCAAAGCTGACATTTAAGATTTTATTGTACTTTGAGTTGCAAACTCTTTCAGAAGCAACTGCTGCAATAATCGGCATTGTTGGAGCAATAGTAACTAATAATTCAGTACACAGGAAATGAGTCATTGTTGTTCTCTCTACACTCAGTGGTTGATTTTCTATGGGATTATAAGGTGTATTTTTAGCAGCAGTAGAATTTTTGAGGAGTGCTATATGCTCAAATCAGATGCAAGAAATATGTGTCTAGATACATATTGGTTAACTTTATGCATGCTAATGTGCAGGTATTTTGATTCACCGTCAGTTGGGAGTAAAATGTCTTATTATTTATGCAAAATGCATATTATTCAGAGACATGATCTCACTCCAAGGTGACTTTTTCTTGTGAGGTGTTGCGTTTTCTTGTGAGGCTAACTGAGTTGCTTACCTCCCCTCGTTAACTAATCAGCGGAATAGTGTTACTCCTATAACACACTGCTTGGGGGGGGGGGTGACAAGTTGGGTTACTGCTAAGACGTTTGTTCTATTGTAAAGGGAGAACAAATCAAAAGAAACCTCCATTAAATGTATCTTTTTGAATAAGCCTGCATATAAACAGAGTACCTTACACCAAACAAAGAAAATTTAGGCATAATGAAAAAATCTCATTCGAAAGATATAAATTGATTTTATTCACCTGTCACGCACAACCATAGTGATACGATTAGGATCAGCTTTCTTGATCATTTTATGGACATCACTCATTGAAAATCCCGCAACACTCACATCATTTATCATCAGGATTTGATCGCCAAATCGGAGACCCGCAAGAGAAGCTGGTGTATTCTTTTGAACAAGAATAATAAAGACACCCTAGGTACAAAAAAAAAAAAAATTATATACAAGATGATGCTGACATTTTTTTTGTTGTGTTCAGAATTAGAATGGAGTGGCAGTTTTTCTTAAAATCACAAATAGAGCTGCAAAGTAATCAGGATGTAGTGACCCAATGGGTTGAGTCTGCATACAGTTTGATCCTCTACATTTTGTTGAAAAAATATGCAATGCCACAGTAAAATATGCAATAAGTACAAAGAGCAATTGGGTGAGAGTATCAGGAGGATTTACAAAGACGCAATGAGGTGAGAGCGTCGGGAGGGAGTACAGGTTTATCACTTTCCAGTCAAAACTGATTTCCTAAGGTATCCAGGGTAAAATTAGAAGTATTTTACAAATTCTTAGATAAGAGTTAGTCGTGCAAACATGATACAAAAGCTTTTTTAAATCTGAAATTGTCTTCTCTCTTATCAGGGTGCATAGCCACATTATCCACCTTTTAAGCACTCTAATAATATTTTAAGCACTTAAGAATATAATAACTAGGCTGGGTTGGAAAGTTTTTGACAATTGACGGTTTTATCTGGTTTTAACAGTCATGTAAATTAAAAAAAAATCTTTTGGAATTGTTTTTGACAATTGTCAAAATTTTTGAATCATGTAAATGGAATGGCGTTTCCATAAACTATGGTTTGACGATGCGCCAAAATAGATTGGGGATGAATTAATTGTGAATCGTTGAACAGAACAATGTGAACAGTGTCTTTCTGCACAAATCATAGCAAAAATCAATATGATATAGGAAAAATCTCAATTTGGAAAAGGGAAAATTAAGCACTTTTTAAAAAGGGCTTTTAAAAAACAAAAATAAGCACCTTTAAGCACTTTTTAAAAATGCTATGCACCCTGTCTCAAACTTTGAAGTTTCATGTAATTTACAAAATATTATTCTTTTCCATTCCCACTATATTTATAATAACTTTGTTAAAAGAAAGTAATAATAGCAAAATTATAAATGTAAAAATAAAACTAAATTATTAATTAAATTAGAATCAAAGGCAGGAAATAAAGGATAGTTCCAAAAATGTTTTTGTAAGATATATCACTTAAAATTAAAGTCTGATAAGTAAATTTAAGCACAATCCCTATGAATTTTTACGCAACTTTTGGCTCAATACTTTCAATTACTTGCAGATTTTCCCTTAAAAATTTCCTTGAAAAATAGTAGCTTTAGTAGCTCTACTAGTTAAAAACAGCAATTTAAGTTTAAGATAAATAAATTTATTTTGATTCTAAAAACCAAAAAGCAACTACTAACTAAATGTGTGATTAAAATAAATAATTGATCAATTTTTTCTTGATATCTGATTTGGATACCACGAAAAAAAAGTGTTTAGTTAAATTTGAAATTGACATGTCACAATATATTGTATTAAAAATATTTAGAAAACCCCATGAAAAAGATAGTAAAAAGGAAATATAACTGATGAGAAATTGGTCATAAAATGATATGAATTAATGATGGAATAGTTGTGAAAAGCACATCTAAATTTGATAACTCAAATTTAGAAATTGGATGCTGAAATATATTAAAAAATAGTAATTTAGAAAACCATGTTGAAAAGAACGAAAAATGCATAAACAACTCCTAAAACTTTGAGGTTGAATTACAACGGAATAGTCACAAATTAAGGACATCAAAATATTATTACTAAAATTTGAAATTTATGCGTCGTAATGACATTTTAAAAACATCAAAACTTGAAAAATTATGCTAAAAAACTATCAAAAGTCCAGTGAACCAGAAGTTACTTGCTGGTTGATAAGATTTCACCCCACCCTGGATGTTAGCGTACAAATTTATTTAAGAAGTTACGGGTAACAGAATTTCAAATTCAAAATAAGCTACATAAAAAGTGATACAGATTTTAGAGTTCTGTATAAAACTTACATAATATGGAAATAGTTATTTTTTAGAAGAGTTTTAACGCTATAAATAAATAATTGCATTGGTCTTGTTAGTATCTTCCAGTGTGATCGAAGGTTTCCTGAAGAAGAAATCTAAAAAGAATCTTTTCCTGAGGAAAACATATAGGGAATCTTAGTAGGAAAAAAAGTATATGTTATCACTTGATTGGCTGTCACTTTTAATTTTTAAAAAATTATAAATTCGTATTTTCATACGTAAAAAAATAATTTACTTCCTTATTGTCTATCTTATGTAGTTTAGATATTTACATATTAAAGCTTAACTGAATAAGAATCAAAAATGCAAACCACATTATTTTAAAAAATAAAAAAATACTTTAAAATTGAGTGAATATTCTTATCACAATAATTGACTTAAAAATTATGGGAAAAAAAAAAAAAAAACGAATCCAGATTTTTAACTTCAAGATTGTGTGAATATGAATCATCATATTTGATTTTAAAAACATCTGACTATGAAAAGGAAGATTTGGCTTTTAATTTGTGTGATTACAAACGATTAAATGAAATAATATGTTATATTAAAATGTTTATTGAAATTCCCTGAAAATTTATAGTAAATAAAAAAATATGAAATCTTATGAAAAAAGTTACATAGATAACTTAAACTGAAGTGCAATACTCGTTATTATACGAGAATACATACTTTGTTCACCGGCTGTACTCTAATGCCTACACGTCCTTTGCCATCTTTGCATAAAGTGACTTCACGTAAGCCGTGGGTGAGTTGTGATCTAGCAAGTCCAAGGGAGTTTCCAGAAATAGGTGCGATCATAGTACTGTTCGGCCTAGCAGATGGAATGCCAACTGTATTCTAAGAAATAGGAAAGAAAATCAAAATGAAGTCGAGGTATATTTATTGGTTATAGGGGCTATGAATCCGAAATTTGGATACACAGCAACACCAGATTTCACTTACACATAGTTGCATCAAAAATGACTATAGTACTATCATTAAAATACACATCGATAATTCTGATCATTATTGATATAACAATGAAAGTTTTAAAAAGACAACGTTGAGAATATTATGCACCCCTGTGGCAGATTTTTTTTGAACTTTCTGCGATTTACCTCTCTAATACTAATATCTTTCTGCAAGATACTTTAAAAAAATATATATATATACATGTTACTAAATTAAAGTAACAGTAGCGTCAACTTCCATAAATTCAAAAAGCTTTTCGGATCAAATGAAATAAGTTTTTAATTAAATATGTAATCTTTTTTAGAATTCTAATATTAAGGGCGATATTCTCGCATTTTGTAGGGAGGGAAACACACTAATTACTTCCTCTTTTGCATTTTGTAAATCATTACCCCATTAAAAAAACAAAAAAAATTGTGAAATCCTTAGCAGTAACTTCCAAAAAAGAAAAAAGATCAAGGACGAAATCATGCGAATCGGACTCTTAAAGGGTTACTAAATGCATGCTTTCATTTCGAGATTCAGTTGTAAGAAATAATATTGGATTTTAATAACTATGTGCAAATTAATAGTAATGACTAAAGAATTGGAGCAAAAATTTCTGCAGAAAAGAAAACTAACTTTTTGTTTTACTTCATTACTCTTTTTTTTTCATTATTATCAAATGAGAATAAAAAAAAATCAGAAGCATTTTTCCCACTCTGATGTACGAGAAAGGCATCTTTTGAATATAATTCTGAAGTAAAGATAAAACTTTCGAAAATTTCGGAAGAAAAAAAAACTAAAATTTTTATCTTCCAAAAAGAAAAATCTCGGTAACATTCTGCCACAGGGTTATGCACAACATAATGTGCATAGTGAAAATATAGACCAATGTTAAAATATTGATTAATATCAATACTTCTGATACATCTATTAATAAAAATTTGAAATTTGTCAGTGTAAAAACCAATGTTTGTGTAAGCAACATGTCATGGTAAAAGCAAGCTGTCACCAACACATGGTTTCTATAACTGATATATACTAAAACAATAAAAGGTAAATTACTGTTCCGCTTATCAAAAGTTGCCTCTTTTATTTAATCAGAATTCAGCTACATTGAGTACTGCTTGAATGCATCTGCTTTAACTGAATTTGGGTACTTTGAATTTGGAAAAGGCCACAATCTGAGCACACTAAACTTAAAATGTTAATTTTATTATATACTATCTTATTAATTCAATTTAAAAACAGGTAAAAAATATAAAATTACCAAAATTCATAATTCCATAATGAACAGACATTACTTCTCAAAAATCATAAAGGAAAAGGATTATTGTAAACTTATTCATTCTATAGCTACAACCAGTGCCGGATTGAGCGTACGTGGGGCCCTAGGCCATTCAAATTTTGNACTAATATCTTTCTGCAAGATACTTTAAAAAAATATATATATATACATGTTACTAAATTAAAGTAACAGTAGCGTCAACTTCCATAAATTCAAAAAGCTTTTTGGATCAAATGAAATAAGTTTTTAATTAAATATGTAATCTTTTTTTAGAATTCTAATATTATGGGTGATATTCTCGCATTTTGTAGGGAGGGAAACACACTAATTACTTCCTCTTTTGCATTTTGTAAATCATTACCCCATTAAAAAAACAAAAAAATTGTGAAATTATTAGCAGTAACTTCCAAAAAAGAAAAAAGATCAAGGACGAAATCATGCGAATCGGATTCTAAAAGGGTTACTAAATGCATGCTTTCATTTCAAGATTCAGTTGTTGTAAGAAATAATATCAGATTTTAAAAACTATGTGCAAATTAATAGTAATGACTAAAGAATTGGAGCGAAAATTTCTGCAGAAAAGAAAACTAACTTTTTTTTTACTTCATTACTCTTTTTTTTTCATTATTATCAAATGTGAATAAAAAAAAATCAGAAGCATTTTTCCCACTCTAATGTACGACGAGAAAGGCATCTTTTGAATATAATTCTGAAGTAAAGATAAAACTTTCGAAAATTTCGGAAGAAAAAAAAAACTAAAATTTTTATCTTCCAAAAAGAAAAATCTCGGTAACATTCTGCGTCAATATTGCCATGTTGCTACGATTCTGCTCCAGGGTTATGCACAACAATAATTATTGAATACAATATTTTTGTTAATTTTTATGTGCGTAGTGAAAATATAGACCAATGTTAAAATATTGATTAATAGCAATACTTCTGATACATCTATTAACAAAAATTTGAAATTTGTCAGTGTAAAAACCAATGTTTGTGCAAGCAACATGTCAAGAAAAGCTAAAGCTGCGACCAACACATGGTTTCTATAACTGATAAATACCAAAACAATAAAAGGTAAAAAACTACTGTTCCACTTATCAAAGGTTGTCTCTTTTATTTAATCAGAATTCAGCTACATTGAGTTCTGCTTGAATGCATCTGCTTTAACTGAATTTGGGTACTTTGAATTTGGAAAAGGCCACAATTTGAGTGTACTAAACTTGAAATGTTAATTTTATTATATACTATCTTAGGTAATAAATATAATTTTTTTTCTCCACATAGATAATAATTACTCTAATGAATAATTTACAACACAGCAGAACTCTGCAAATTCATAACTCAATAATGAACAGATATTACTTTTCAAAAATCATAAAGGTAAAGGATCCTTGTAAAATGATTTATTCTATTGCTACAATAAAACCACCACTCTGTGATTAGCTACCAGTGACATCAAATAAAATACAATGTGATGTGCACTAATTGTGGCAATCCCATTCTAAATCTACAAAGTTCTAAAAATGCAAGAATTTTGCACATTTAGTTACCAAGCATGTAAGCAAAAAATGTTTCCACGCAGGACAGGAAATTACACTGCAACTACTGTTTGTCTACAATAGGTACTCTGCCAGAGATTCTCCTGGAGCTGTGGCGGTGACTATGGTAACGAGGTATGATTATTTCAAGCAGGGATGCGGGGTCCCTCTTTAGGACTGGTTTTGGCGAAAGAAAAGGAGACCTCTTTGTCGAAGCCACCCTCCCTAAAATGCCCTCCTCTTGTTTCCATAGCAGCAGACTTAGTGGTGGTCAGAGTACCTATCTTAGACAAACAGTACAGTCTCAAAACTTCAGATATGGCTTCCATGATATATAGAAATTAATTATATAACAGTAGAAAATGGATCAAAATTAATATAAAATGGATAAAACAGATAAAAATCAAAATACATAAACATGCAAACAAATAGAACTGATTTAGAAATTTTTTAATTACCTGAGCAGCAGGAACAACAGCTGTTGCAGGAGGAGTGTAATTGGGACATTCCTGCAACTGTAATCCCATGTATTCATCCAAGACTGGATATAAACTAGCATATTTGTCACCGGATATTGGCTGAGAAGTAGGATTTATAGGATATGCTGGAGGAGCACTAGGATATCCATGAGAAGGACTAGGATATGCATGAGATGTAGAAACTGGATATGCTGTATTACCATGAGCTATTTGAGCCTATGTAAAAAAAAAAAAATCATATATATATATATTATTTTGAATGCAACCAAATGAATAAAATATATTAATTAATAATAAGATCAAAAATATATTTCAAATGAATTAAAATCGTTAGTGACTTACTTACATTTAGGCTCTTAAAAAAATTAAATTTATAACTGACCAGTTCATGTAACCCATTTTAACAGTAATAACAATAACAGTTTTACAATATAAATACAGAATATAAAAAATATCCAATGACTACTATATCTTTTTACCATTTATTTTCAACATAAAATACAATATTTTTTTTTATTTAATAAAATTATTTTATTTAATAAATTTATTTAATAAAATTATTTTATTCTATATGTTTTTATTTTAGTAGAATATCATAATTTTTTTTTTATAAGCTTGATCTTTGGATTCCTATTATTTGGTTCAACCTCCATTTTCTTAATTTTTTTCTAAAAATCAAATGATTGGAATTATGATTGAAAATACAATCTTAACGGACATTACGGAACAGAGTTTAAAATAGCTATTAAAACATTCTTCAGGGTTGCAAAAAACCCGGGTTTTATTCTTGTTTTTTTCTTCTAAAGACAGGGCAGGGATAAGTACCTAATTTTTCAAAAAAGCTTATATTAATATAAATAATTAAGTTTACTTTTATGAATGACAGCAAGGTGACTCTCCAGTCTCCAAACACAGTTTTTTCACCATAGGAACATTTTTTCTAGGTTAGACAACATATATATTTCAATAGAATAGCTTTTTAACATAACGGAGGATAAAAGGGAAATTGATTTAAAAAAAAAAAAACCATTTTAGGGTGCGTTTTACTGGGTTTTTTTGCAACCCTGAGTTTATTATGAATCTAATTTGATTTAAACTACAGCAATAAATAATTTTTATAGCTATTATAGAATGCTAAAAGTCAAATACACAGCATATTTACTTTAGCCAATTGGTCAACTTTTAAATCNAAATTTTTTTATAAGTTTGATCTTTGGATTCCTATTATTTGGTTTAACCATTTCCTTAATTTTTAAAAAAAAATCAAATGATTGGAATTATGATTGAAAAGTGGCACCTGTGCTTGTACAGTACTATAATCTTAACAGACATTAGCTATTAAAACATTCTTCAGGGTTGCAAAAAACCCAGATTTTTCTGGGTTTTTCATGTTTTATTTTTCATGTTTATCCTGGGTTTTTCATGTTTATCCATAGGTTAATTTTTTCTAGGCTAGACTACATATATATTTCAATAGAATAGCTCTTTAACATAACAGAGGATAAAAGGGAAATCGATTTAAAAAAAAAAAAAAAACCATTTTAGGGGGCGTTTTACTGGGTTTTTTTGCAACCCTGAGTTTATTATGAATCTAATTTGATTTAAACTATAGCAATAAATAATTTTTATAGCTTTTATAGAATGCTAAAAGTCAAATACACAGCATATTTACTTTAGCCAATTGGTCAACTTTTAAATCTTCAAGTGAAGGATAGAGAGACATGTTTACCAACCTGCATAAAAAAAATACATTTATTGAACAAGATAAAGAGTATAATATTTTAAAAAAGAAAAGAAATAATTATGCATTTTAAGGATTTCAAATATCCAACATATTATTTTGCACACAATTGTAAAAACAATTAAATAAATTTTTATAACAGAATACAAGCCATTTTATAAGACATCTCTTTTTTAAAGTTTTTTGAAGAACAAAAAAAAATCTAAATTTTGTAATTAAACTAAACTTTGTTTTTAAACACCAACATAAAAAAAAAAAAAAAAGATGCNAATTATTTTCAATCATTTACTTAATATAACATAAATTTTGGCAATTGAGTTCAAGTACTGTAAATTTACTTAATCTAGGAGATAAGGAAAGTCCTGTCTCAAGCTAAGCTAGATTATAACTTATATAGAGAGATAAACTACCAAAACCTCCCATGGTTAGCAAGGGAATTTTAATCTATGATTTGTCTACCACTAAAGATACTATACAGAGAACCATGGTTTAGGGGTGAGCCAGAGACTGAATTTGTATCGGCCAGCCTTTGTCGTTATTCAAACCTAGGTCACCTCATTCAGAAGAGAGCACTTTATCCGTGAGTCACCTATGTCCAAGTATGTCAACATTTTCTTTTATATCATAACCGGCATTGAACAGCCGATAGAATTCTGAGTTTACGACTATCAATGCTAATTTTCTGTTACTTCGTAATCTTGAACCTAACCCAGAAGACGAAGGAACTCCTGGCTCAAGTATTAGGACAAACTAGCCGTAGTGGAGAACTTTTTGATGGAACACAGTTGTATCACGTGGTGAAGAAATTACGAAAACCTCCCTAGGTGAGTCAAATGGCAAAGGAATATTCTGACAAATGATCAGCCTACTACTGAGGATATTTCTTTAACAGCACTGTTGTCAGTGCAAACCAGGAGCAGTATTCGTATCAACCAGCTAGGGATGGGATTCGAATCTGGGTCAACTCATTGTGAGGTGAACGTTCTATCCCCTGAACCACCATGTCTCAAGTATATAAATACTTTATTTTATATCCGTCGTTGAACAGCTGACTCAACTTTTGGGTTTAAGGCTGCTAATATCAGGGATGTGATTGACAAAAGCACAAAAAAGAGGAAGTTTATAACTGTAGCATTAAACGTGCAAAAGAAAAAATGATATGAATTCAATAGCCAATCTGATAATGATTACATTATTATCTATTCTAATAAATATAAATAAATGGTAATTATGTTCTTAAATATAATCTTGATTAAAATAATTTTTTTTAAATAATTTAGAAAACTTTGAGTAATTATGCATAAGCACGATTTTATGTATCACATCATTTTAAAAAACATTTCTTTAATGGTCAAAGGACCTTTACGGACTTTCTTATCAGTTCATTGTTTTTTCGATGGTCTTTTATTAACATGACTGATCTGTAGATTGCGTTTTGCAGACTTTTGATCATCAGTGTTGATAGGACAAGAAAGTTCATTTCTCACACAATTTTTAGAGGCCTTAGATTAAGAATCGCGATGTTGGATTTTAAGATCGCGTGAAAAAGAATCGCGATGTTGGATTTTAAAATCGCTTGAATAAGAATCGCGATGTTGGATTTTAAAATCGCGTGAAAAAGAATCGCGATGCCGGATTTTAAAATTGCGTGAATAAGGCGATATAGGATTTTAAAATCGCGATGTTGGATTTTAAGATTGCGTGAATAAGAATCGCGATGTTCGATTTTAAAATAGGGTGAATAAGAATCGCGATGTTGGATTTTAAGAGTGCGTGAATAAGAATCGCGATGTTCGATTTTAAAATAGGGTGAATAAGAATCGCGATGTTGGATTTTAAGAGTGCGTGAATAAGAATCGCGATGTTCGATTTTAAAATAGGGTGAATAAGAATCGCGATGTTGGATTTTAAGAGTGCGTGAATAAGAATCGCGAT